TTATCATATGTAAAAAATTGCAAATTGACCTGGTTCACAATAGCTCAAGCGTATTTTCATGACTTTGCCGAGTTTTGTAGTGATTACCGCCGGTACATTGATATTACTGAGCAATGCACAGACTTTTCAAGAAGCTTCTACCCGTAGCCGAAGAAGTTGATGTTTTGTTTTTCGTTTCTTCTTCATTTTGTTTTTGTCCTCATACAATTCTAGTTGCTCTTCCATGTTGCAATTGAACGGCGCAATCGCTCTCAATTTGCACTTGTCATCGTATGTGGCATTATCCTCACTTGAGAGACAAAAGCATAAAATTGAGCCACAAGTAACAAACACACACATAACAAACATATAAACAAACAGTTACACATATAAAAGTAAACAAAAGCACGCACCATATGATAGACAGAAGGACAGATTAACAGATTGACAGATTGACAAACACAACAATGTCAGTCTAACGGACTAACAGTCACTACCACAAATAAACAAAGCATGTAACAACAAATAGATAAGCAGATTGACAAAAACTACAAACGGAATTTATTTGACGGGTACTGCAATAGACAAGTAGGCACGATAGCATTGTCGTCCCTATGTGAGCAATGCAAAGTATGAATTAGGTTTTATTTTGTTTTATTATCATTTTTATGTGCACACAAATAAACACGGATATACGCACAAATGTGTTTATTATTTATTTGTTTGTTTAATTGTATTTTTTTTTGTTTTTGTTTAGCTGAATTAAAAATAGTTTATTCTCATCAATGTAACATATACTTGCCGTTAAAGTACTTTACTTTTCCTGAGTGCCTAACAATTGTGTTAGTATTGCTTCAAAGCACGCATTCATCTCTCTCTCTCTCTCTAGTATTTTATTTAGAAAGACAACAACAATGTAAATAAATGGCAATTGAAAAAGACACAAAATATGAAATTGTGTTTAAAGTAGCACAATGTTGCAACGAAATTGCACCAAGTTTGTCGGTTATTGTATGCAAACTTTTTAAAACAATAAAACACATATGCGCTACACTTTACAAAAGCGGCATTTGAGCACTTGTAGTGTGAAGGAAAATTTTGTAACACTTTCTTTTTGTAAACATATATTGAAGTAATATGAAATTTAATAAAAAAACTTAACAAAATTTCACTCACATGCTCAGAATTCCAGTGGAATTTCTGAAATAAAAATTATTTTATAAACTGAATAAATTTCATGTAAAAAAATGAACTCACAACGTTTTATCTTTATTTTCATCTCGTTGTTGTAAATAAGACTAGCCGCGCACAAATTAAAACCGGCGCCAACAATTGTTGTTGTAGAAGATAGCATCACACAAATTAATTGATACGAACATTATTATTATAAAATTAATTTTCTTTTTGTATAAATAATATTATTAAAGTCACATTAAATTTAAAATTATTCGAATTAATTTCAACGTGGAAAAGAATTACAACGTGTTTTGCAAAAGTATGAAGACAATGTATACAAATGTCAAAACATAATTCTCACAGCGAATTAAAACCGGAAGTCGAAGGTGAGAAAAGAAAGCAAGAGATCAACTAATACATGTATGATATTGATTAAAGAAGCAGGGCGAATTCTAAACAAACGGCAATCAAAACAAATAACAGCTGAAGCAATGTGTGCGCTACAGGAAAAGCTTCGGTCAAGTTAGTATAAATAAGCGTATGCATCAGAAGGAAAAATCACTTGTTGGAAAACTCTCAAAGGCAGTCATACGTCTTTGCGATAACAAGGAATTCGTAGATTTGCATAGAAGTCAAGGTAGTTTATACGTCTTGATAAGTAGATTTGTATAAAAGTCAAGGTAGTTATACGTCTTGATAAGTAGATTTGTATAAAAGTCAAGGTAGTTATACGTCTTGATAAGTAGATTTGTATAAAAGTCAAGGCAGTTTATACGTCTTGATAAGTAGATTTGTATGAAAGTCAAGGTAGTCCATACGTCTTGACCAATAGATTGATGCTCTGTAACGCCAGTTTAAATTTCAAGTAAAGCGGCATCTGTCCAGAAGTACGATACAACGCCAGATTCATTTAGTCAAATCCCAAAAATTAAATATATATATTGTAACATTGTAAACTTTCTTTTTTTTTTGAATTATTAATAAATCACAAATCATATATATTAAATATTGTCTTTGATTTCGGAAAAGAATAAATTATATTGCAACGACCCCTGGACGACGGCTGAGTATACCTCAGCAACATCAACGACAAAAGTGAGTCGTTACAGTAGTAAAAGAAATTTATGTTAATGTATTTATATATATAATTTATACTAAATCATAAAGAGGTTTTTCGAACAGTAGTGAACTACAACAACAAAAAATTATTTCATATGATTTCATTTAATTGATTTTTTGGCTAACCATACATTGGTTAGAGTAATGCCAACTACCCAACATCAGTGGTTTTGGAAATAATTTTTGTATTTAAATATTCGTAAATAAGTTTTTGAGACTGCAAGTACCAGGAATCGAACTTGTGTCCTGCCAAATTCAAAGCTCAGAGTCAGTGCACCTTAACAAACTGTCCCAAAGCCGTACTTGACTTTTATGTTCGCACATTTTTCTGGATTTGTTGATTTGCTGTGAAAGTTCATTAACAAATTCACTTGTTGTTTTATATTAAAACGAAATCACAAACTAGCTATGAAATAATTGAATTAATTAATTATATTTTTATGTTTAATTGTTAAATTTCAATACTATTCTGTTTGTAGAGGCATTATTTGTTGCATGATTTATATATTCTTTCTTATGTATAGAACCTAATCTAGAAACGTAATACTGAGAAAGTCATGCTAATGTTACTCCACTAAATACTAAATATTTATGAAGTTATATATAATACATAAAATATATATATTTATATCAAAATCAAGTCTCTATGCTTCGCTTTAGAAATAAATCATTATGACCAGTTTATATCAAAGGTTATAACTGATTAGATAAGAATTAATTTATATCGAGCATATATATCGTGCAGCGATTTCTATAGTATTTATAAAATTAAAACATTTTTCTTGAGAAAACGCGTTTTTGTTAAATATAACCGCAATTCTTTTTAAATTTTTAATGGCATCTTTCATTTTGCCAAACATTATCTCTTGATTCGACTTTTATCTTAACCTGAGTTTCATCCTATTAGAAAAAAAATTAACTAAGATTAACTAAGTGCGATTAAAAAATAACGATAGTTATTCCATTTAAAATTAAAAACAAACATCAAAACTTTTTGGTATGCATCAGTTTGGTATATACATTCATTTGGTATATACTAAAGTGACTACATATTTAAAGTTGTATATTTAAAGTATTTAATTTATTTCTAACAGGTATGAAAAAATCACGCACTCTCATTGCGATAACCCTCAAAAATGTCTAAACTGTGATAAGTTTATTGACAGGTCACAACTGATTAGGGAATCATGGTAGAAGATTGAATTTACCGCTCAATCATTTTTATCGCAGTTATTAAGAAGACGATAAAATTGCCTTATATCTGCTTTGTTACTGCTTAGCGCTTGCGCGGCGTCAATTAGCTATTTTAGGAGTTTCCTTTTTGAAGATCTATGCCAGCACCAGGAGCATTCTCGAAAAAGCATTTTAAGTTTTATCAAAGGTTTAGATCCTTGATTTTCTTATAAGGTAATATAATGAGCCAATAGCCTTAATATATTTTAGAATTGTTGGTATAATCTTATTCGGGTGTTTTTTATGCTAACAAATAAATTTTTTTCAAAATGATAGAATAAAGAATTTTTCGCGTTTGTTTCTTCTACTGCTGGATTGGCATCTAGTGTGACTCTATATAATTAATATATTTATATTATAAGTATTACCTTAATAATATTTAATGTATACCATGTTTTAATATTATATTATACATATGGTTTAGATAATGTTTAACTAAACCATATATAAAATGTTTAACTAAAATAACTAAAAATTATTTTTCAAGTGTATAGGAATTTAGCTGAAGTAAATGTTTGGAACACCGAACGTATGAGTAACATTGAATTTAAGAATAATTTCAGAATTTTGAAAATCTGTAAAGTTATTTGTTCAGCATGGGAATATTTTTAAATTTATTTTTCTTGTTTAATTTTCGAATCAGTTTCCTCAACAATGCTTAGCCTCTGTATATAGTACACAGAATATTCATTTATAGCAAATATCACCTCTACATTTAATGCTCTCCTTCGTTTTATGAGTAATCTTTCCCTCAGATTACTGATATTAATCAGTAATATTTTACAACATGCAAGTAATGTTTTCCTTTGTTTTTCTTATGATAATAATAAGTGACTTTTTTAAGTCTCTATCAAATTTATTCCATAGAAATATACGTAAAACTCGAAAATTACAACGATATTTTTTTCTGTGTACTTTTTTAGAGTTATTTGCTGTAACTAACCTTTTTTTCAGTGAAAAAGGTGAAAGGTTTCATCAGGTGAAAGGTAAATATCTCTGCAATGGAGAAATGATATCAAGGGTATTGGAATGCAAGCATGTTGGTAGATTATTGTTAGACCATTATAAGAGAAACAAACCCTACACACTATAAGAAGTTTGTTGAAAGCACATATATACCTCATTATAATATATAAACACACTTTCAATAATGCAGTTTTAATATTTAATATTTAAATAAAATTTGTATAATTTTACATAATGCAGTTTTGATTTTACAAAATTATTTCGAAAAAAAATGATTTTTCTGACTTGTTAATAAATACCACTATTTTGGGCAAATTTGGAAAATGGCAAATAACATATTCGCATTATTATTTATTGGTTTCAGAATATATGCTACCATCGTCATTAAGTAATAAAAAAATAAACATTTTCAGTTGAGATTTGTTGCCTTCAGAGAAATAAATAAACATAAACAATTTTTTGATAAAAACTAAGTTGAATTGTTCATGAAAATAATGTCATGGTGATTTAATTAAACAAATAAAAAGTTTGATCAATGAAAATTGTTCCTTTTCAGTAACAAAATAAAATTTGTGTATTTTTCACAATTTCAGTGTTAAATAAATAATTTAAGTACAATGGCCAACGTTGATGCGGTACCGGACGATGAAGAAGAAGTACAAGTTATTCCAGTTAATGCTGTACCAAGAAATATTTATGGCTTACGTTCTGAAGTTGTTGGTAATGTACAATACTCCTACAATGGTGATGTTGTATATCCGGTCGAAAATGTAATTGTCTTCCATAATTTCTTAAATAATAAACAAAAATTTCTGCGGTAATTAAATTTAAATATAAATTCTTCTAAACTATATCATATAATATAAATAATTTTGATATTAGATTGCCAGTAGACACCACTCCACTTAGAATGACCATGGCATCTTCAAAAAAGTTTTTAGCTGTTTTGGAACAGAATCCTACAGAGTAAGTGATATGAGTAATAATGAATGTGAAAAAAATTTTTATAATATTTTATAATATATATATAAAATACTATATATATGAATGTTTAAATTTATGCATGAGAATTACCAATATCAATAACTATTGTTTGACAGCTAAGGATATCAAATTGTGTTTCTGTTAAGTAAAGTTTGACAATTCATCATGAATCAATTAACGATAGAACAACAGTTCTAATTGTGGAAATTCACTTTAAAAAAAATAAATCTGTTCGCAAAGTTCATAGAGCACTTCGTCTATTTTACGGTCAACATAATCGACCTAGTGAGCAAGCAATTTATGCGGTTATTGATCTTTTTCACACCTATTTTACTTTTCTCGATTCAAAATCATCCACACAATTTAAATGCTGGTGGCATCATCGCAGAAGTGGTCCTGTAAATCGGCCCCTCGTTCGTGTGATTAAACGCCTTTCAATCACTTTTTACGGAGCTACGTTAAGACATTGATTTATGACGATAAACTAGCTACTTTTGCAGCATTGGAAGTCAATATTCATGCCACCATTGACGCCATACGGCCACATTTATTGCAAATAATAGCCTGATATGAAAAATTTGACTGATCAAATATATACATATATCATATACATATATCATATACATATTATTTTTTGATTACCTTATTTGATTAACTTAACTTATTTTTAGTGGTTCTTATATATCTGTCTACGACATGTCTACTCTGAAGAAACGTAGACATTTAGTTCTACCCGAAAAGTTTCAAGAAATTGAAATAAATGCAATGCTGTTTACTTATGACGCAAGAGCAATAGTTCTGATGACTAAATGTGCTGAAGCTTCTCTACTCATGCTTACCTTGGATAAATCGAGTTCTGAAGCTGAATGTACCTTGCCATCGACTGATAATGATCAAGGGTATGAATGCATGGCATGTCATCCAGAAGATAATGCACTGGTAGCAATAGCAGGAACTGGCGTACTGATTTTCCTGTGCAAAGCAGAAACAACCATTACAGTTAGTTCTACATGCAAATTCGCCTACAATATATGCTCGATGTATTTCTTGGCCTCGGATTTGTTATTAATGGGTTCAGATGATAATGACTTAATATTAGTTGAGAATGGCGACTTCAAAACTCATCAAAAAGCAAATACTGCAGAATCAGTACATATACTTAAGGATCAGGAACAAATGGATAAGGAGCTGGCGAAAATGCTACCCTCTGATGAAGTATTAAAGGATAAACGTGTTACTTTTGTAACAAATTTGAGAGATGCATTTGTATTTGTGCTATTTAATAGAGTATTTGTATTTGAAAAAGAAACCAAATTCGAATATGTGCGAACAACTGTTATAACTTTGCGACCAAGTGAATTTCCGGAAGAGGCTTATCAAATAAAAAATATAGCATTTGATGATGTTATGGAAAACATAATCGTTTCGCCAACTATATCTCAAATCTATACAAGTCGACTATCAATGACAGAAGATGAATTCTATATGATTGAAGATGATGAAGAAAAAGAAGAAGAGGAAGAGGCTACGAGCTATATGCAATTATATTTTAAACCGCTTGGTCAAAAGCTGCATGTAGATGGAATTGTTGATGTTTCAATTTGTTCATGGAAACCTATTGTTGTAACAGCTTGTAAGAAAATCAATTTTTATATAGTACAATATCCTATTTTTATTGCATAATATTATTTTACTTATAGCCAAAGATCAAACTGTGCGAATTTGGAATTATGAAACTGACGAGATTGAACTTGTACGCAAATTTCAAGTGGACGTTAACCTCGTTGAACTTTGCTGCACTGGCTTTATGGTTGCTATTGGATTTGCGGATCAGCTGAGATTAGCACAGATTTACATGGAGGATTTAGATGTAATAATACAAAAAATTTATATAAATGTATATAAGATCATTTATAAATGCGTTTTCAGATTGTTAAAACCTTCAATTTTCCTCGCTGCACAATTGTACGTTTCTCTAATCTTGGTGCTTACATGGCCGCTGGGTATGATAATTGCATATCCGTTATTACAGCTCTGAATTTCGAAACGGTGATACATTTGAAGGTGAGTTTTTGTGTCAATTATTTAATTTTTTTATTTATTTAACAATTAGGATTTACTTTAAAAAGAATTTTAATTAAAAGTCATGCCTTTTTAAGGCTTTTTACGAATAATTTATATAACCTATCCTAAAAAAAAACAATTAAAAATTCAGCTTTTTAAATAATAATCGATAGTAATAATATCGATCCAAATTTTTTACGCTCCCTTCTACCTTCTATTTTTTGGTTGGCACCATTATTCTTTACTTGTATTATTCTCTTGTCTTTAATAAATAGGAGGAAGTGCTTTTCAAAGCTATTTTGTAAGTTTAAGATTTCACGCAAGTAAGATCATATTTCAAAGATATAACAAAATAATATTTAAATGTTAGACAATCAGAATCATTCGGTGGATGTATCAGAACTCCCAGTCAAGATCTTTCAATTTCTACTTTTCGGTTCTCTTCTGGTATTTTTTTCTGCCAGCTGAAGAATATGATAAATATTCAAGCTAGTGATAATCTAATGCTGTAATTTAGGGTTTATATATCACTTATATATCACTTCCTTAAATCAAATATAATACATATTCCGGGCTTCAAACTATACTTCTATGAAATCATCTGAAGAACTTATTATGAGAATGCTACAGAGCTCTAATTACAGTTGATCATCCAAGTAGTCACGGACATTATTGAGTAAAAGTGTTCAGATGGAGTACATATCCGTTCATTTTTGCAAATTCCTACACTGTCTTCTAAGTGCTATTTGCTGACATTAGAATTGAGAATCAATAATTTTTTTAAGTATCATATAATGCATGAATCCTACCAAAATCTGCGTCTGCTACTTTTTGTTACTTTTATTTTTTGTCTTTCTTATATTAGATCATTCTTCAACAAACTTCGTTTATTTTTAATATTTGATAACTTTGTTATCAGACCGTTTTTTTTTGGAACTTCAAATAAGAGTTTAGTTTTTTTTTAACTTAGGGTCACAGCGGTATCATTTTGACATTAGCTTGGACGAAAATGGATGATACAATTGTTTCTGGTGGTGCAGAGGGTGCAATTTATCAATGGGATGTTCATACCGGTGAACGTTTACAAGAAATCGTACAAAAAGGTACACAATATAATACTGTTTGCATTGGTGGTACCGACCCCATATCTATTTATGCTATAACAAATTACGGTGTGGTGCGTGAATTTCAAAACTCGGAGCTCGTTCGAGAAATTGCATTACCAACCGAAATGAAAGCCCCTCTAATTGATATGTGTTTATCACGTTCTGATATGGTTATGTTTGTTTCCAATACCTTGAACGATTTAATAAATATACATTGTCCCTTCAGTGAAGCAGGAGGTGGTAGATGTAGAAGTTTTCGTTTTTTTGCCTCACCAATTAAGCGTCTCAAATTTACTTTCGATGGTTTGATGCTAATAACAGCTTCAGATGCAGGCACTCTTGGATTTTGGGTATTAGAGAACATTGAAGGGCGTATTGCAATCATGGACAAGGATCTATTACGCTGTCAAGAAATACTCATTCCTCGTTCTATTTTACATGATAAAATCGAACAGGTCAAAAATCTGAATCTTCGTTTAAAACAACAGGCAGAGGAATTTGCCTATCAACTGAGTCAAAATCAACTTTTCGATGGACAACAATTGGCTGCTGTGCACAAGAGTTACTGTGATGCTATGGAACAACTCAGGGCGTTAAATAATCAAAGTGCCCAACTTCATGTAGAGGATATGAATGCAGTTACTTTCAAAATGACTGAAGTAATCAATGAACACAATAGGAAACTTAAGAATTTAGAAAATCAATATGGTGAGCAAATGTTGATGGAGTATCAAAAGTTTTCGAATCTGCGAGAAACAATGCTAAAAGTGCGTAAAGGGTATGAGGAGAAATTGCAAAAATCTGCAAGTACATTACAAAACACTGTTGAGGGTCTGGAAGAGGGATACAAGATGCAATTAAATGAACGCAGAGAGCTGCTACGTGAGCTCATTAAAGAGATGCAAAATAAGAAGGCGGAATATTTTGAGTACTGTCGGCAGGTGGATATTGAAAGCCAAAGAACTTTGCATGACACAAAGATGAGCTATGAAAATAAACTGCAAGATGAAAAAAATTCAGCTCAATTATGGCGAGGACGAGCTGGAGTTTACAGAAAAAAATACGAGTTAGTGGGTATAGAAATTGAAAACTTGTTGGAAGAGTTGGAAATACTTACCGAAGAGAATACTAAGTCAGAGAAGATTATTAATAAAGGTATGCGTGACATTGATGATCTGCAGAAAGATATCGCTGATAGAGATTATGTTATTAGCACTAAGGAAAAACGTATACAGGAACTATTTCATAGAAATCAGGAACTTGACAAATATAAATTGGTGTTATTGCATAGAATCACCGAATTGAAAGCACAAATTGAACCTAAAGAATATTTACTTAATGATAAACGCAAGAAAATTATAGACATGGAGAACGCATTAGAAGATTTGAATCAAGCAAATATTCGTTTAGAAGCTGAAATCGAAAGTGTTAAGGGTAAATATTACGATACCATTGAAGAGCTCAGAAATGAAAGAAATCGTGCCAAAGCAGCACGGGAGCGCATCAACAACATGCGTACTGAAATATATCAATTGGGCGCTAAAATTAATTTCCCTAAACAGATGCGAAAAATCGTACAAGATATGTATAAGAAGTATGTAAATAAAGAACCAATCAAGAGATCCATAAATATGGATAAATTGGTAAGAGAGGAGTATTTCAGGCAACGTAATTATATTGAAAACAAAATTAAGAACGATAAGGAGAAATCAAAGCATAACGTAGTCAAAGAAGAATGCGATGCAATATTTAATGAAAATATGGAACTAATGAGAGAAATTGATAAACTGCGTGCGGAAAACAATTCAATGAAAGAAAAAGCACTAAAAAAGCAAAAAGCTAGAAATGAGGCAAAATTAAAAGGAGCAAAGAAAAAGGCAGTAAAAAAATAATAAGAATTGTTAAATTAATTTTCTTTCAAGTATTTATTTATGATTTCTTTTTCATTTTTATTAGAAAATAAATTTATCTCAGAGTTAAATAATTTATAATGTGTTTAATGTATATTGTTGAGTTTAACCTTTGCTATATGAAATAATAACTGATTGATTAATCACAATAAATTTATTATGATATCTATTATCTATCTATCTGTTACATATATTGCATGTATTTCAACTGTCAATATAGTACTCTCTTCGGGATAGGAGTTTGAATATTCGCAACGTAAACCATGCCTATCGCAAGAGACATCTGAAATCTCGTAAACACTGTCCGATACTGTTTGGTGTATGACTGGGAGTGTGCGAGTTTCAGTTGCAGATTCCGACCGAAAGTGTAAATCGGGTACCACGGGCGGTAGAATTTACAATTTTAAATACCCTCACAATAGAAATTGACCATTTAAAGGCAGTGTCAATGGTGACTGTAGTTAAAACTCAAATATACGCAGGAAATATAACTGTATTCATTTACTTTAATTCGATGTTGGTTTACAACAGAATGTTATGATTGAAAGAACAACAGATTTGGAAGAAACTATGTACACACGTACAACTTCAATTGGTACCAGCGAAATTCTGTGGAATTCCATTGGGTCATTTAGATAATAGAGATAAGTGTATTAAGGACACAATATTATTATGCCTGCACAGTAGGTAAACAAGTTAAAAAGCTTTCAGCTCTGTTATTAGAGACAACTTAGATTTTGTTTCCGCAAATTAAGATGTGTAGAATAATTATAATGCTATTAAACAGTCTATAACAGGCAAGGAACACAGCGCCTTATCTTTTTTGAAGCCATAATATCTATATACCCGAAACAAATTTGCAACAAAATTATATATAGCTGTTACTCCAAAAAAGTGAAACCTTCGTTTTTCCTTGTATATTGTAGCTATATAAGTAAAGATATAGGAAGTAATTTATAAAAAAAATAATCCAAATTTTTATTTTAGTGCTATAGCTTAACTCAACAATAAATTAGTATCTAGTTTGGATATGGGTGAAATTGATTTACATATATAATTTTTGACATAGCCTTATAGATGCACTTCTTATTATAGATACTTATAGATATATTTTTTGAGTTCAGTTTCTTGATAACGAAAACGATAAAATTTTTGTAAAATATAATCATATTGTTTCATTATCTTGGTAAAAGTAATAACATTCAAGACAATTGATCTGATTTTCTATCAATTTCAGAGTGCGTTGAATTTTATGCTCATTGTTTAAAGAGGTTTAGAAACTTATTAGGTGTAAGAAATTTAAAATAATCTCTTCCTTGTGATAGTTAATACCTTAATTTACGGAAATATCAAACACTATAACTTCTGTTTTTCTTATAGGGGAAGATTTATTTCAAAATGAAAAACAAAAGATTTCATAACATATAAAATTTTCTACTAAAGCAATTAACAAACCTTGGACTATGCTCATGTAGCATTTAGTAATGTATATAATACCTATCTTCTGTAGGTAGATAGTAATGTTCTGTATCACTTATACATTATCTTTGAAGATATATTTCTTCTAAAATATATTTTATTCATTTATATTTTATTTATAGTTTTCTCAAATTCGAATTAATATCTCGGCAACATTTTGAAGATATTACTTGTCATCATGCGACAAACAATGTGGTAGATATTTGCGACAATCTTTTTGATTGGCAACATACGGTAGCAATGTGCGACAACAGTATCTCTAAAATAGTTTTTCTTAAAAAATTTTGCAGTGATAATCAAACTGTTGTAGTTTCAATAGTTCAGAAATATACTACAAGCTATACCTATATATACTACAATATACTACAACGTATTGAATTTATATTATAATTTTTTTTATACATAGTTGTAGTTAAATGTTGTATTAACAGAAATTTATCAATCTCACGAGAGAAAACATGACAGAAAAGTCAAAATTAATCTGAATATATAATATAAACGATATAGATAAAAAATGCAGACTAACTTAACCTTGTTCTCTTAATCTCACAATATAAACGTGGTATAATTTATTTTTATCTTAAATTCATATTAATAAACGCAATATCCATTTGTAAATAAAATTCTACGATATTTATTAAAAACTGTTTGTCAACACTTTTTCTGTAGACCGTATTATTTACAAACTGATGACCGTATTATTATTACGTTCTTTACTAAAAGCTTTCTATGTGGTACTGTGGGAAATTTTTTGTTAAAGTTTTAAAGCTTTCGTAGGAATTTTAAAATTAGAATTTACTTGTTGCAGGTTTAGGATGAAAAATCCGACCATTATCACCATACTTTCCGGATCTAAAAACGTGCAATGACCACTACTTTCTCTCCTTGTGAGTGTAAATCGTTACTTTAATTATTACTACGTTAAAGAGCAAGAAATTGTTTACGAATTGTAGTAATAGAGCATTGAAATTATGAAATGTTGATTATTTTATGTTATATGAAATATATGTACATATAAAATATACATATGTATATTTCATTATTACATTTATATATTTCATTCCTCAAATCAATTAATAATAATGCAAGGTGTATTAGTTTTAAGTAATGAATATAATTTATTAATCAAGATAATCAAAATTATAATAAAATATTATTACATATTTCTTACTCTATAGTAAACTATTATTAAAAAATATTAAGCGCCAGATGTTGCTTGAATATTTATGAATATTAACGACTGTAATAGTGTAAATATCGTTAATAGGTTAATTCAAATAATTGAAATTAAAAATCTGTGATACATAAATAACGTATAAGTACAATTCCACATTCACTTAAACTGTTATCAATGTATAAATTGAAACTAGTACACTAACTCAATTTACTCTTTTGTTTACTTCATCCACATTTTTTATATTAAATTTGTATAATTAAGAGATTCTATATAAGTCACAGCTGTAATATGTCAGTGGTAAAATGTCAAATGAATACGGGAACGGGAACCTACATTTTAGATAGTGACATAAAGTGTTTACGCTTCGTCGTAAAAGTAATTTTCTGTTAATGATTTATGAATCAATTTTTTTGAGCTTTAGTGCATGATTTTTTATTGTTAGTTTCAGTTTGTAATGACAACTAAAATTTAATAAATTGAACTGAAGAACAATTATTTACACTAATATGTTATGCTGATTCTTAAAAAAATTATCTATTGAAGTATACTTCAGCTAGTTGGCTGGTTAAAGTGACGACTTAACCTATAAACCCAATATTTACTTTCGTTCCGTTTTGTCACTTTATTCTTATTACCAATGGTTGTTTGGCTATTAGTACAGATAGTATGGTTAAATCAATTCTGTGCGGTTTAACTTTCTTACTTAAATGGTCATAAGAGTCCGTTATCAGGTTTTGGCTGACGCAGCACTTCTCTTCAGGCGCCTCACTATTCTCACGATTTGTTTAAGCCAGCAAATTTGCTGGATATTAACTCGTTAAATTATATTAATATTGTTATAAAGCTCGTGTAATAGTAATTCATTTGGATGCGATGGTCACAGCTAATTTATAGAGGATTAAAATCACACAAAAAATTTTTCTCTTGAAAAATCATAGTGCTGCTTCATCATTCTTTGAAAGCGTCCATGCCTCTGTGCTATACTGAATCACAACATATAAATGACCTATAGAGTGTAAGTTTTGTCTGTCGGGAGAGAGTTCTACATCCTAATTGCTTATTGAGCCTATAGTAGTACGTATTGGCAGTGCCAAGATAGATCAAATCCTTGAAAGATTTGAAAGTATAGTCGCCAAACTCCAGCTAAGCATTTAAGCGACGCAAATTTCTACCATTAGCTGACATAAATTACGTTTTGCTCTTATTAACAACTAAACCCATTTTTGTAGAATCTTTCGTGCGTTTTAGAATCTCTATCAAAATCGAAAGCAAAGCTTTTGCTAGCTCCCCAAGATTATTGAAATAACGTTACCTTAGTTCAATTGGTTAATTAGTAATTAAATATCCAAAAACAAGAAATATATTTCGAAATGATAATAGTATATTATCTAAAGACAGAATAATTTGCTTAAAAAGGTGTACACATATACTTAAAATTCTTATATTTTGTCTCTCTCTCTCTATTAAACATCTACATAAATGGTTCCAAAATTATTTTACATGTCGGATGTAACATATTTTCTAAAAAACTGGGTCTCGGCTTTTCGCTTCGACTGCTTAACCACTGCAGTGTTTTTCACGCAGAGGTAATAGCAATTCACTATACTGTAAAATGGACCATAGATAACTAGATCCTTCACGTAAAATAAGTAATCTGTTCTGATATTCAGAATGCCAATAAATACCTGGTAGGTACTGCAGCCACATCTCTAATAATTCGAGAATGCCCAGCACTCCTTAATGAACTAGATAGGCGTGTCAGTGTCCAACTTATATGGGTTCCTGGATACAGAGACTTTTCAGGACACAGGGACAACTGTAGCATAGAACCTGTCAAGACAGATACTCCACTCCCTGACATTCACTTCTTAAATATTGGCTTCCCACGTGCGACAGTTAAACTGGCAATCAAACAAAAATATTTAAGCATTGTCAAGCAATAAAACCGGCTATCTGATCTCTAGATTGACCTGGGTTAAATTGGATAAACAACGCACCAGCCAGTTGTTTCTACTAAGGCGTAATCAGCTCAGTACTACGCTATCGATGCTGACGGATCGACGTGTGTAGAAAAATAATCTATAAAACTGGGTTAACCTTATTATGACTTATGTCGAGATTGCGGCTTTGCTGAGGAGAAAATAGTGTTTTACCTTATTCCGTCAGTGTCTTTCTTTGGCTAGGAGAAGATCTAAAATTTTGGGGTTTCTTTTCTTATCGACTTAACTATGCTATCATCCTGCAAAAGAAGGGACTTAGTCAAGTTTATAGAATTGTCAGGTTGGTTCTTTTTTACCTAATGGGACTGTCGTGTCTTCTGCGTTGA